AATACCTGGATTCGGGCCGCTTGAAATCCGTGATATGAGACCTAATGGTGGGAGACGACCTATATAATGACCTCTAAGCAGTAAGCACCCCTCGATTGAAGTCAGCACAAAACCCGCCACCATGTTGTTGCAGAATGCACAAACAGGAGCCTCCCCAGGGCGGCGGTAGGCGGGCCGGGGTCATGTTCGTTACATCAGCCGGGCCGCCGCGGTGCGGGAGCCGGCGCCAGTATTCGGCCAACGTTCGCCCCCCCCCCCCCCATTTATATACAGGTGATGTAACGCAATGAAGCGGCCGGCCAACCGGCCCGGTCTTCCGCACACCGCAGAGCCGGCTCCTGACGGGGGTAGTGAGAGGGTGAGGAAGGGACAGACGGCACAGTGGACGGCAGGCCATGGAGCCCTTTTCACCAGGCAGTGACAGGTCAGGTATGGTACCGCTCGAATACACGGACTGAGTGTATTTAGAACAAGGTTCATTTGTCAACTGTGCAGGGTAAATGGACGCTGGAGACCGGCATGCGACCCTTTTCTGTCCCTCGAGTAGGCGTGCCCTCGGTGACAAGGCCGGTTCCTCTATCACATGGTTAGCACTTAGCCCCATATCTACTCGTACGGCTACAACTTCGTTAGCGATGTTTTGCCTAGCATCAGATGCATGAGTGCACACTGTGCACATTCTCATGCCATGTTACCATGGCGTGGCCGCAGTGCTGGTAGATACGCATGGGCTGTGATCGACTTGTGAAAGCAGTGAAGGGATTGGCAGCGCTTTAACAGAATAGTTGACATCTACCTATCTGTGTTATGGCAGGGTCAGGATCAGTCTGCGCTACTTGGCAGTACAGTCTCCGATGTTACCATTCCCTGGGATCACGGTCTCACTATACCATTCTCAGTACCACGGTCTCAATGTGATACCATACTCAGGATCACGGTCTCGGTGTTATGTGATTCTCAGGATCACGGTCTCGGTGTGATGTCATTCTCAGTATCACGGCCCTGGTGTGAGATATCGCGGCCGGCCCGAGACACTGCCAGCCGTCGGGAGCTCCAAATGAGTCGCTCCATCACCGGCCGCCGGCCCGTCTCCTCTCCATTACGGCCTCAATTCCAGCGGAAAATGGAAACCGCCGTCGGGATCTACAGTGAAATGGAAATCCATTGGCCGCGACCATAGAAACAAAGCGCGGTGCTCCCTTGCTAAGCAGAGTATTTCACATGCACTTCATTTGTACGATTTAATTTACATGATGCATATCAGCCAATAGAATGGAAATTTATTCGCTGATAAACGCAGAAAACACCGTAGATCATGGACGTCCTGACAGAAGACAGGTGCGCTTCTCGTCACTTCTTTATTCGGCTTAGCGAGATCTATCGATTTTGTAGGGGGCACAAGCCATCATAAATATGCCATTATGTATTCGATTCACCACTTTTGCGCAAATATCTGGCCAGTGCAACAGACACAGGGAAATGATCTTCCGGTAGTACAGTTGTAAAGACTCGGTTGGCTGGTTTCACTATCCACAGGTGAACAAACTGTGGGTGGCAATACTGGTATTCATTAATGTCTGAATCGGTATTAGTAAGTATCTCTATTGATATTCAATGTCAGCATGGAAATATAAATGGGTATCTGTTTCGTTTCGGTAGCAGTATCGGTATCGGTATCGGTATTGGTATTGGTATCGGCATTGGTATCGGTATCGGTATAGGTACCGGTATCGGTATTGGCATCGGTAGCGGTATCGGTATCACTATCCGTATCGGTTTCGGCACTCGATCAGCTGGTGTCGATCAGCAATACACCATCTCGATCAACTGGTGTCAGTTTCGTGACCACCTCGCCGCCCCTGCCGGCATTCGCGCGGGACCCAATACGTGTCGGAGCGATTGTCGGTTCCGCTGGCCGCTGCCAGTACCGGTGTCAGTATAGGTTCTATTCCCCACAGCCGTCCCAAGCAGCCCCGTCCGCCGGCTGCCACCGCCGACTGCCGTGTGAGCGCCGCCCGGCCGGCCCACCAGCCCGGCCGACCAGCCCGGCCCAGCTGCCGGCATAACCGGTTCCGGCGACATGCACGCGGGCGGCGGCCGCCGCGAGCCGCCCGACCCGACCCGGAGTGGAGACCTCCGGCCTCCGGGCTCCGTCCGACCCGGACTGGAGACCTCCGGGCCCCGTCCGACCCAGAGTGGAGACCTCCGGGCTCCGTCTGACCCAGAGGGGAGACCTCCGCGCTCCGCCCGACCCGGACTGGAGACCTCCGGGCCCCGTCCGACCACGACTGGACAGCCCCAGAGTGGAGACCTCCGTCCGACCCAGACTAGAGAGAGGAGACCTTCGTCCGACCCAAAGACCTCCGTCGGACCCTATCTATGGTCGGACCCCTCCACTCCCCGCCGTGACCCGGCTCCCCACCCCCAGTCGGCGTGGAAACAGACGCAGCGCCGCGACCCCCAGCCGATATGTCGGCGCACTCGACCCGGTGTTTTTGTGCCGAGAACAAAGATAGACAGCCGGAAATCCCCGGTACGTAGGCGGACCAACTACCGCCTCCGAGTGTGGCGAGCCGGGCTGTCAACACAAGCACCGCACCAAACGAGCTTTGGAGCCGAGCTACCGGGGCGGGCCTGCCCGGTCCGTCAGTCATACAAAGCTGTGTTACCGGCGGCTGAGGGTGAGCCGCCGCAGCTGACACGGAAGTCTGCACAGTGTGCAACTGAAAGGTAGACCCGACCCGACCCCACGTGCCACTGCTGCCGCGCTGAAACCCATACCACCTCGCGTGAATTGCGCCCGCCCAAATTCACGCATCAGTGTCACAATGGCCGGCCCGTGTCCAGCGCGGACTGTCGGACCGCGACTACGGAACAGAATGGGACAGGGAAGGAAGGACCGGGCGGACCGACCAGCACGTGCCCACTCCGTGCAGAGCGGCGGCGTCAAACCGGCCGCCCGGGCGGACTGGCCGGCCGGTGCACCGAGAACGGCACGGCACAGCACGGCACGGCACGGCACGGCCGGTCGGTCTGTGGCCGTGCCACCAGCTGACCGCGCCGGCCCAGCCGCCGCCGCGGGAACCGGCGCATCACGAGCGGAGCGGCGGCGCACCGCCGGAACGCCGCACACCGCACAGGCGTGGTGAGTCAGGTCCGTACTGTGACCCAGTGGTCAGTGTACATACCGACCGGACCAGCCCGACAAACCGGACGGGATGGGAGACCACAGGGTGTGTCTGTGCTCAATACAGAAATAGAAGAACACAACTCGAAACTCACGCTCGGATTGAACCTGCCAATAGCGTGGGAGCTGACGAGAAAACCCAAAAGCAGACCAGACACAGGTATCCTTTTTGAACAGCGAGCCGCTCCGATTTCATTGCTCGAATTATGACCGTTAGAATTACGCCAACTCATCCTGACGCAATAACTCGCAACAGGAAATCCCCACGAAGTTATGTCCTGTTAGAGGCAAAAAGCTGGCCCGCCACGCAGCATGTGACGTAAATCCGGGTATTTTATTTACCGCGCCCCGCCTCGGTATAAAAGAGTTACCGTTATACAAGTATCCATGGGTGACACATAACATCAACTCGCCATCCGTTTTTACTGCACATTTTTCATAGCACGTGGCAATAACACCGACCCTCTGGCCAGTCGCATTGATTTTTCCCGCACAACAGAGAAAAACGGCGTTTGTTGGAGGAAACGTGCTGACGCTGCGTGACGCACGGGTCACGAATGTGGCGCAATCGTCACCCAGATCAAACACAGTGCGCCGGTATCGCCGGGACATCGGTCAGCGGCCGGCGCCCCTGCAGCTGCGCCCGCTGAGCGCACGCACAGAGCGGCCGGCAAAGGACCGGCGGCGGCCCACAGTACTGAGCGGCCCGGACAGACCACTGCACGGCGGACCGAGGGGCGGCACCCCAGTTACAGGAGGGACTCCCGCTGCCGCCGGACAGCCCGGCCAAAACACACACTCGGCAGCGGCGGTGGCGACAGACCCTACACCTCCGACAGGACCGACACATCCGACAGCCGCCAGCCGACACCTTCGACAGGCGATCAGGCGCCCAGATCCCAGCGATCAGAGCGGCTCCGCGGCGCAATCCCCCGCCGCTTTGTAGACGCATTCCTCCCAACTGCACTGACCAGAGAGCCGTACCAGTCTGAGGCGAGCGAACAGCCAGACACCCACCGCCCGCCCCTCGCCCAAACGGACTCGGTTTTGATGTGTCCGATAGGGCCGCCGCGCGGCAAGTCCCGCCGGCTTTGGACATGCTTCACCGACAGTCATCACGAAACCCGGGGTATTCCCAGTACCTTCCCAAACGGAGCAAACTCCGCCCCTGGCCCGTGAAGGATGCGCCTGCGCCTCGTATCTTACGCCGTAACACTCGTATCTTACGCTCGTATCTTAGTCCGTACTGCATTGGGTGACACCGTACCGTAACGTGCAACACAGAAGACACCACAACTTGGTGGCAAGGGCTTGTCTATCGTTAACTTTTAAGATCGCATCGTCGGGTCCATTGATATTCTTGTTGGAATTACCTTGTTTAAGGTCAAATGTTACCATTAAATCGAAATGAGTTAGCGACCTTTGATGGAAGCGAGGGACAGCAGCCCGTAACTTATAATCTAAAGCCCTCGCTGTGAATCTTATATAAAGCAATTTACTGCAATCTAATAAAACTAACCCTTTGGAGTTCGGATTATGTTTCGTTAAAAAAAAATGTTTGCAGTGACTTACGAGTGGTAATTACTTGCCCCAGTAACAGCTATCAGAATCTCTCAATGTAGAGGAAAGGATACTAACTATCATCGCACCCAAGGAGGCTACTGACCTCGGTGGCCGGGTTGGGACATTCTCGCCCCCTTCCAGGAGGCTACTGACCTCTATGGTGTGTTGGGATATCCCGCCCCCTGTGAGGAGGCTACCGACCTCTGTGGTGTGTTGGGACATTCCCGCCCCCTGCCAGGAGGCTACTGACCTCTCCGTGGTCGGGTCGGCGCAGTTGAGCGGGTGCCGAAGCTCGATGACCTCGCCGTTTTTCTCCTTGAGCTGGCCCTGTTTCTCCATGTAGAACTGGATCAGCTCCGAGAGCGTGGCGAACTTTTCGCCGCCGTACAGGTCGTAAAAGTCGCCCGTGTTCTGGATCTTGATGTGAGTGACCTCGTCATTTCGTCTGGGGAGGGGCGGGCCGCGGTCAGATGGCGGCGCGCCGGTCGTCAATGAATGAGTGGCGAGCTGAGATGCGGGGAGCAACAGACGGCGGGCGGCTTGATGAGGCTGTGGTAGCCTGATCAGGTGCTAAAGACAGAGTCGTGGTGGTGGCCGGTGGGAATGGGACCGTAAAAGTGATCAGGCTCATCAACACTAACATATTAGGTCCATGGCAAATATATTTAGGTGTCTGAAATATCTAGCTAATGCAATACTGAAAACGGTCTCAGGAGCGCAAACCACATGCTGCCTAGACCCCTGGGTTTGAAGTGCCCTACCGTAAGTAGGCACTCACCTGACTGAGAGTGTGAAGTCGCCCGGGTTCGATTTGCTGGGGCGCGCCAAGAAGCTGCCGTTGAAGCCGCGCGTTTTCAGCATCCTCTCTGCTTCCAGCCCGGTGATGTTGGGGTGAAACCATCTGAAACGAGCCGCAGCACGGTGAAACCCCGGCCTGGAAACGGGACGCCGGCGGCGGCGGCGGCACACCAAACGGATGGTCCGGTGCGCCGGCTAATCACGGCGACACTCGACATAAACACGACCGAGCGCCCAATGAAACCACAAATAACGTGGGAACAACATAACTGGGCTTCCTGGGAAATGTGAATGCAATACCGCGTGCTACCTGAGAAAATGGTGTTGAAAATGTGCTGCCGGCCCGACACCGCTGAAAAAGGTAGAACTAACCGTTCTGGTAGATAACCTACACGCCAATATGGTAGAAAGTCCGTGGTCACCACAGCTGAAAGTTTAATAACCATGAAGGAACACGGCCCTAGCTGGCTATGAGAAGGGCGAGCGCTGCCACAGCGGTGGTAAACCGAGTTTCAGCTGGCAAGTCCGGCGCAGACTGCAGGACGGGGAGGGCGGGCCCGATCGAATATGGACGCTGACAGTTCCACAGTTCCTCGCCCAGCGCCGCTCCGCGCCCATCGAGCCGAAGGTCGGCAGTGGGTGGCCTGGACACTGGACAGGGCTGAACCTGCCGGGAGACTGGATACCGACAAGCAAGACCAGATTGGTCCCGTACGTGGATAGCATTCCGTCCAAAAACGAGAGGATGACATGATGTCTAGTGAGTAGCTGGGATAGTGTTTAGTGTTTGGTGAGCACCGAGCAGCGGCTACCCGTCTCGCGGGATGTGTGAAGCAGCTCTGAGAGCCCCCGGTAGCCACGAGCCGTCCCGTCCGGGCTCCGGGCCGAGAGAAATGACAACTGCCAAACGCAAATGGGCGCTCTCAGTTAGGGGATTTCGGGAGTGATTTTATGCCAGCACCGCAGTTACACAGCGAGACTGACGGAAGGCAGCTCATTAGTACGGACCATCCGACTGACACCAGCCAACACGGTAAGCTCCGACCATCGCTAGAAAAAATACCGCAACTGGTGGAGCTAATTTATCACCCTATGCAACACCGATGAGCATTTGGACATCACACGAAGTCTCGAGCGGAGAGCCGGCTAGTATTTCTAGGCATGTTGAGTACACACTTTTAATCTAATTTGAGGTTTGGCGCTGACTGGCTGTCAACAGGATCGTGGTCTAATTGGTCCGCAGACGGCCCGGGAGTAAAGCGGCCAGACTCGCTAACTTGGTCTAACGAGCGCGCTCCCTAAGGTCACCGCCGTCTGGGCGACAAGAAACGAACGAGTTCGCAGACGTGCTCGGCTGCTCCTGGCCTTTCAAACATCTAGTTCGGAGCCTATGAGATGCGGGACGGCAAAACATTGACGCGGAAAGTCGGGATGTGTTCACAGAAGTGGGTTAGCCTCAGTTAAAAGCTGAAGGAAAGGTGATTACGTAATACATTAACTAGTACAAGATTGTCGAGCGCGAACTGTAAAGTATGTTACCTGATCACAATCCCCGGCCGACTCTCGCACCGAATACCAGCCTTCGTTTGACTGGCCGAAGGGTCCGTCCTCACATCCTCTCCCCAAATCATCCCTAACCGCACCGCTCCGCTCTTACTGCCGGACCATGCAGCACCCACCATCTCTTCCCCGAGAACGCTGTACAGAAGTCGCGTGTTTAGTTCCCAGTCCGCCCAGCGGGCACGAGCCGCGCCGGGCCGAGTCTCAGGTCACAGGGGAACCACTTTGTCCGGGAGGTCAGGCGGTCGGAGGAATGTGGCTGGGACCGACCGAAACTGACCGAAGTGGTCCGGCTGTAGTCAGACTGCTGGCACGTGTGCCGGCGCGGCGGCAGTCCAGTCAGTGATTTAGAGAGGAGTTCACATCGGCCGGTCATACATCAGCCAGTCAATAGACCAATATCGAGCCGCTGAATAAACACATCAATCCTTGCAGACAGACGTGCTCAGGCCGAACAGATGTAAAAACCCATCAGTGGCCGGGGAGACTGGACATTAGTTCTACCCTCGGTTCGTACCAGACGGCTGGCGCCAGACCTGACTGGTGCCGCATCTGTCCAGATACACGATCTGCCCCGGTAGATCGTCCACTAACAGCGCCTGGCCGTGCCGGGGTCGTGTCCGGCTGGATGTGACCCTGCAGGTCGGCCAGGGCCGTATGTGACCCGGCATGTTGTACCGGGACCGTCTGTGACCCTGCACGGCTGCCCGGCCCGTCTGGAGCGAGGGGCGCGCCGGGTAAACACATGGACGGCCACACCGACCGGCGGCATACCGCAGTCGTGCCGTCACGGCGCGCAGAGCCGAGACATCAACAGCTGCCCCAGCCGGCCGGCCGGCGGCTGAGGCGCGACGTACCGGCAGCCAGGGCAGACAGTGGAACGGGGCATACTCCAGACTTGCCTTGATAGACGAGGCTATCAGAGACTGAGAATCGCCCTGCTCGGGCGATATACTGACTTAGACGTCCCGTGCCTTTTCGCCCATTATCTAAATTTCTTTTATTGGGACCAAATGTGGCTTTCATGTTGCATACGGGTTAATCGTTCATTCTAAGCCTTGGATCCCGATACGCCTCTGACCCGATCTCGCATATCACATTTATCAGAGCGACCCCAGAGCGTCGACAGCCGACAAGGCCGAACCTGAACCGGCCGGCCCAGGAACACCTGCAACTCCAGCCGGCCCGACACCGACCCGGCCCGGGGCACCGGGGGACGGTCCACCGCCGCCCGCACTACCGGCCCGGGCGGGACACCGGGGCACGGCCCACCGCCGCCCGGGGCACCGGGGGACGGCCCACTGCCGCCCGCACCACCAGGGAGCACCTGTGCCCCCGGCAAGGCCGCCTCACTACCTGTACGGTCACCCCGCCCCGGCACAGGCGGCGGGGAATAGATCTGCACCTGTGCCGGCAGCCACACAACCCAGCCTGCACCAATATGAGAACCAGTGCAGACACCTAACACCTATAGGTATGTGCCGAAAGATTCCCTGTAACTACTCATTAGCATCTTGCTTCGATTTCTACACTGATTCGTAAGCTTGAGCCCATGCCTCAATTTTAGCCACGTGCTCCTACGAATACCTATCCCCCGCCACATATGTACCTACTCTGGGAAGTCAACCTGCCCCCACAGCGTCGCGTACCCCAAGAGTTGTGCCCGCTCCCATTGAGCGGCATACCCTGGGAATTAATTATAGCTGCTCCCACTGCACCGTGTACCCAGGGGGCCGCACCTGCCCCCACTGCGCCGAATACCCTCTCACCCCCCCCCCCCCCCCGTATATACCTGCGCAGCACGTAGGTGGGCACGGGCCGGGCGCGCGCGGCCGGCGGCTCGCTCCAGGCCGGCGCCGTGTCGGCGTGTCGAGCTGACGGCCACGGCAGCAGCGAGCGCCAGCCGAGCTTCATGCGCGCCTCCATGGCACCCATCCGGCCGCCGGACAGTCGCCGGGGAGTGACAGGACAGTCACTGGACAGTCGCCGGACGCCCGGGATGGCCACCGAGGAGACTGAATGGAGACGTGCTCCCTAGTAGGCTGAATGGTGCCGTGCCGTGACCACCCGCCGCTTACTAGCCGAGTGCTCGGACTTGCTTGTTGAGCAGAGGGCGGATGGACCCAATCACTAGCGTTCAGCCAGACCTCTGCCAGCCTGAGCTGCCGTCCGTTGGTTCGAACACGATTCACGAGCACTTACGCCACAGCACGCGCACTGCAAATGCCGCCCGCTGCAGTCCGATCCGCGGTACGCTGCCACTGAGCAGAGTAGCTCACACTGCCTCTCACTGAACTCACAGTCGCTCACTGAGCCCGGGACAACTCACACCACCCCTCACTAAGCTTGGGAAGCTTAGCGCTGTTCACTGAGCTAACAATAGCTCGCACTCCCACTCACTGAGCCAGGCGCAGTGCACACTGACGCCCAGTGAACTCAGAGCAGCCTACTCGTCCCGCCGAGGCCGCCTCTCGGGGGCGACTCGGCACCGGCCGTCCCGGCCTCCCCGCGGCCCAGTGCACTTCTTGTTAGTCGGCCGCCAGCAAATTTGTTCCAATTTGCGACTTAACGCTCACGATCATTTTGACCTCAATGATGGCCGCCCACTTCGGCCCGGCACTTCAGTCAGAGGTTAGCAGCGCCACGGGCTGGCAGAGAGCACAGCGGGCGCGGAGGGAACACGCGCACTTCACTAGTCCGAGCACTGCCGAGACGGCTCATCGGGCGGCCGTCAACAATCACTGCGGACGGAGCCATCCAGCGACTCATCCGGGACCGGGGAGCAAGTCACTCCGGCTGGAAACTGAGCCTACCAGTCACCGCTCGGCATCCTACTGACACACATACACAGCTCGTCGGCTCAGGTGCAGTAGTCGGGAGTACGCCAAAGGCCACCCGGTGACGGATCGTCACTCGGAGCGCGTCACGCCGGCTCCGGGCGTCACTCGAGCAGCTGCGACACTGGGTCGTACCGCGCCGGTACTCTCCGCCTCACCGCAGCGACACCCGCTGAGCAGCAGACGTCCCGCTCACAGTCCAATCACAGCGGCCGCACTGGCTGGCCGAGCGCCGCGTGCTCCGGCCCCCGGACCGACTGGCGTGCGCAGCGCGGGGCACCGCGGCGACGGCGACGCGTGGGTGGGCCCCCGGCGGCCACGCTCCCCCGGCCGGCGCGACTGCCGCCGCCGGCCCGGCCCGTGCAGCTCGGTCCCTGGTCCCCGGCCGCCGGGCTGCGCCGACACCGGCTTAAGTGATAAATGGTGGGCTGACGGGCGGCGCCGGGGTCGCCGGGGTCGCCCGGATCCGTCAGCGCCGTGTCAGCTCTGCGCGGGTCGCCGCGGGCGCAGTACAGGTCGGCAGGTGAACGGTGCGCCGGGCGGGGAACGGCGCCACGTCGGCGTCCCGCCCCAGCACCGGTACAGGTGGAGGAGGCATGTAAACGGCGGAGGCGCTGGCAGCTCGGCAGCCCGGCAGCAGCGGCGGCCTGCCAAACACCGACCGCAGTCGGCGCGGCCAAACAGGAAACAGCGAATTATCTCTCGATTGAAGTCCCGTGTTGTCCGGGGTCGGCCTGTCTCCGGGGCGGTCCAACACCGTGTCATCGCTGACGTCACAGGATCGCCTGGGACGGCCGATCTGGGCTGGACAGTGCACACTACTGACGTGCACGGCGCAGAGCAGGCACGGAATGCTGTGAACGGCAGTCGAGGGTCCAACAAGTCAGCAGTTGAGGTTGCCGCCCCTATAGTGACCCGATCGGGACTCTGCACGTGAAGATCCGCAGAGTAAATATTCGCTTCTGGCACCATTTTTCGGTTATTTCTGGTCCGGGATTTCAGTGTCTTTCAGCGCGTCATAGACATTGATCATAGACATTGATTTAAGAAACCCTTCATTGATTTTCCCCGCCAAGTACTGGAAGATTACGACAGCTTCAGCGATGGAAAATAATTCAGAAAGTTTGGCAAGAATAGCCTGCTGGGAAAACGGCTCAAATCCGCTTGGAAACACCAGAGTCGAGAAGCTGAAACCCGACATAGCAGCCCTACCGACTCCAGTCCAGCACGTTCAGCGCTGGAAGACCGCGCTTGGAACGCCAGGAGACAGCACCGGCCTCAGACCCCGTGATACCAGCCGGGACTCAGGGTGCTGATACGTGGCTTGTTACTAGGTGGAACTGGGGCAGCCAGCCGCGCTGGCTGATCGGTTATCGGCTAGCACACTGCACACCTGAACTGGGGGACATAGGCGGAGACAAACAGCATATGTGAGAGAGGTATGTAGATTGAGCGAAAATGTCGCCTGTGAGAACACGGCGTGGGTAAAAAGGGACGACAGAGGATGCAGACAGGGACAGACAGAGACCGTATCCGATGCAGAGGTTGAGCTGATCATAAAGACAGAGACGAGGATAGCCGACAGAAGGTTTTCTCAGACGGAACTGGAGACAGAGATAGAAACGGAGACGGAGCCAAGGACAGAGAAGAGGAGGACAGAGAGTTTGTTGAGCCGGAGCTGGAGACGGAGGGTGGGCCGCCGACTGATGTGCCGGTCGGGTCACATTTCAAACAGCCGGTGTTGGCAGCGCGCCGGGTGGAGACAGTCGCCTGCCCCAGAGGCGGCAGCGCGGCCGGCCGGGGCCCGGCAGCTCGCCGCAGCGCTCACCAGCCGACCGGCGGCGGCTGTGTCAACAGAGGTCCGGCCACCGCCGCCGCAGCGCCCTGCTTACCAAACACGAAAACAAACAAACGAATAAAACTCGGACCCTGCACAAACAGCTCCGTACCATCAATATAAACCGGCGTGTTGACTTTGCAAAGAACGGCGGAGGAGGCGGCGAAATGTTGACATGTCGTGGAACAGATAAATATATGAAGTCTTTCAAACTGGATGAACAAAGTAGTAACAAAAGAGTAACTGTTTCCATAAATATGGAATGGAAGTAGACAACAGAGGCCCACAATGCCAGGGGGGGGGGGGGGCGGTCAGTCGGGAACTGGCCGCCCAGACTTCCCACGACAGCGGACGGAGCAATCATCTCGTCGCTCCCGTTCCGGGCACTACATATTTAGTAAAATGATGTTGGGAAGGAACTCTTCATGGTACCGATACCGGCCAATTAAAAACGAATTTGTCTGGCATAGTGCCTCGGCGTGGCCGGTACTCCATTACAGCCTGCAGCACCTCACAATCGACATAGGGACCACCGTGCGGCAATAAATTATGATGAATGACGCATATCGGGCGCCATGGCTTTGGTTCCGCATGGGTACAGTAGTGCAGCGTTCCGAGCAGAATACCCAATGTGCGGCCGCCATGGTTTGCAGGAAGTCCGTTCCATGCAGACAATGTGAGCCTGCGAATCCCGTAGTCCGGCAGCCACTTCAGAGACCTCATCCAGAATCATATATGAGCATTGCCGTCCAGGTTATCGCTTAGCAAATCTAGCCCGGTTTCACGTTTCACGCCGACAGGCTTCCTGGAATGTGACCCGAGAAGCATTTCACAAGAATGTGCAATACAAAAGATATGTGCCTAGGTATTGAGGTAGACAAGGAAGCTTCTGAATACCAGCAAAAGCCTAAAGGGACCCTCCCACCTTCAAAAAAGTTAATGAATTGGCATGAAAGTGATGTCGCTCGGTTCAGAAAGAGCGAAAACGAATATCCACCAAATTTCATCGAAAAATATTCACCGGTTTTCAAGATATTAGACTTTTACTTTTGTTTACTTTTTGGGATCTCCGTTGTTCCTAGCGACTTTATTTGAAAGTGCGGCACTTGTTGCGCACAAAGCAGCATATACCACTGCATGCTATCAAACGTTTTAGTAAAACATTTAAGATCGTTAGATCTGCGCTGATGTCGCACATTCAGAGGGGGCATTCTAATGCATTAGCCCCTCTGAATCCAAGTGCGAATCCTAGCCCCTCTGAATCCAAGTGCTGCAACTTTGAAATTAAATATTTTCGATTTGAGGCATTTCTCGATCTTGTGAGTGCTCAAACCGGTAAGTGCAAGCCAGGGACCCCATTTTGGCTATCTCAACTCAAAACTAATGTTAAGGTGGGGTGGTCACTTTAAACGAGGCACAAAAGCAACTGTGTCACAGGGTATATGTCAGCCACTCCTGCCTGGTGTGCTAGACCACGGGCAGTGCGTTGACAACCTTGTTCCGCGGCACACACGCCATGACCATGCTAGTGGATAGCTGTGTTCCTCGCCAATAGCCATGTCAGTGCGTTCACTTCAGACGGCCACAGAATGCGGCCTATGCCGGCTCAGTGTGCCAGACACGCATAGGTCACACCAAATCGCACAGAACGACCCAGAATCTGACCGGTCTCCGACTGTCAGACGCTGGGGGCGGGCCGCGCATCATCCATCTGTTGCCGGGTCCGCCCGGGGGGCGCACCTCCGGCCCCGGTCCCATAACGGGTGGCTCCGACCCCCGCTCTCACAGCAGGGCACTCCGACCTCGCGGCCCGCGACTCCACAGCGGGGCCGCTCAGACCCCACGGCTCGACAGCGGGGCCGCTCCGACCCCGCGGCCCCGGTCCAACAGCGGGCCGCACCGACCCCACGGCCGGCGGCTCGATCACGTATGGATCGCAGCGCACCCGGCCGACGCACTGCGAGTGCGGTGACTCATCGACGCACATTGGAGCGAGTCAACGGCCGGCGAGCAGCGGACCGGACCGACTGGGAGCCGCCGCGGGCCCGGTCGGACCGGCCGGGAGTCGCAGTCTCGGCGGTCACTCGCGGAAGTGACGCACGCGCGGGTGACTGCGCCATCCGACCGTCTCCGACGTCCAGCGCTGCCATCGATCAGATGTGTCAAACTGGCTCAGCGTTTCAGCCCGTCCAAACCGGACCGGACGTCACCGGAATCGAGCCTCCCCCCCCCCCACACACACACACCGAGCATGGATATGGATATCCATGCCCCGAGTTACTACTGAGATATTACTAGCAGACTGTCTCTAAGATACGCCTACATGAATCTCGTGCTCTGATTGCGCTCTGTGTTCCGTGCTACGAGGTGCCAATGATGAGTCAGTCGTTCGGAGAGGCTGTATTCGTCACCACTCTGATTCTCTTCCACACCGCAGAGACCAGAGTTGGTCCGCAGCATCCGTCATCGCCGGCGGACAAAGCCTAGCCACAGCCGCTGGGACAGACCACCGAGTCAGAGACAGAGAGACAGCCCCGAAGGCCGAGACAGAGAGACAGTCCTCGGAGGCCGAGACAGAGACGTGACGCGGTCCGCAGACCACCGCTCCTCCCCGGGGGACCGAGAGGCAGGCGTGACCCGCCCACTCTGCTGTGGACAGGGGTCGCAGCGCCGTACAGGTGGCCGGCCCGGCCCGGTCGCCAACAGCGTATATCACAGCGGACGGCGCTCATGGTCCGCCGCCGCCACTAAATCAGTTCAGCAGCAGCTCCAAATTGGACCGGTCCGGCGGCCGGCTCCGGCGGCGCCCGCTCGATCGCGGCAGCCCCGCCCCGCCTCCGTCTGCGTACGGGCGCGGCGTAATCTCTGTCGGCCGGCTGCCCACGCACTGCCACTACGGCCGGCGGCGCTCGGAGCGAGCGGCCGCGGCAGGCTCAGTCGGCTGTTACTGCGCCGTCCGCCGCACCCCCCCCCCCCTCCATCGACCGCTGGCGGCGCTCTGTTGCCGGGCGAGCGCCACCTGGTCCCTCCCCGCCTCCCGCCCCTCCCCGGCCGCCGCGCCGCCCCCTGGATACCGGCGCTGTCAGGAGCGGCGGTGGCGGAGGCGGCGGCGGCCGGCGGGCGCGAGCCGCCACGGCAGGCTGCGTGGTGACGTGTCCTCGCCGCTCCGCTGCCGTACGCACCCCGCGCGGCACGCGCAGGGCATACCGGGGCCCGGACCAGCTGCTGACCGCGCCGTGGCCACAGGGAGGCGGCGGACGGCTGGTCAGGTGGATACGGATCAGTGACCAAACAGCGGGGATGGCACGCAGCCCTGAGTGGAAACTCAGGCCTTTGAACTCCGCAGCTCAAGCTGAGTAAACAAGCATTGCAACTGACAATTGAACTGCGACAAATCACCGAATGTAATGGCGTAACAATGAATTCAGGGACTCAATAGAGCTGACTTCATACATGAGCGGGGCTCATGCATATTTACGTGGAAGGCATAACTTATGCACTATG